AATTATAAAATATTGATGAACATACAAACGAAGACTACAACCATATATAGGTCTTTTCTCTTACCCTTGCATACCACTGACCACAAAAGCAAAAGCAAAGCATAGGGTGAGAGCCAGTGACCAGTATAAATCATACCAATAATTATTTGATAGGTGATGAGCCTGAGTATGACTACCAGGGTGACGATTGGGAGGATTAGAGGGTCTTGTCCTACGCTCAAGATTGCCTGAGGAGTTGGAGTCTTCGCCCGTTGATGCGCCTTTTGATGCTATTCTAGATGTTGTGTGCTTTGAGTGACTCCGCCAACACTACAAGAAAAAGAGGTATTAACGACGTGATATGTGGTCGTTAAAAGTCCAAATGTGGTCGTTAAAAGTTATTAATGACCACAAAAATGTGGTCGTCCATGGTCATTAAAAGTTCCATCGCTAATACAATTAATGACCACATAAGATTTCCCATCGTTAACTTTTTCAACGACCAAACATTATGTGGTCATTGATACCAAAGTTGTAACGACCACATTTCTAATAACGACCACATTTTTGGTAATCAACAATATTTTTGGCCACACTTACATTGATATTTTTTTCCACATTGGTTACTTATTTATATCACCAGCCACCACTTGACACCATATACAAATGACATTTTTCATAGCAGTGAAAATACATCTAACAAACTTGCAACAGCAAGCAATTATTATTTGTCCAATTTGTCAATACATAAAGATATATCTTTGCGAAAAATAGAAAAAAACAGCTAACCTGAAACTAACCGTGCCTAACTTAAGGGCCATTCCTATTACAAAGAATTAGCAGCAATAAACTATGCTTGAATTGATGGTGAACAACATACTACCCGTACTACTATAACTAAAATACTAATCTTCAACTGGAGGCGCTCTGCAACATTGCCCTCCGACAGCTTGGTCTTGTCAACAAGTAGAAGCCTGTAATTACTTCAATGTTAACACTATAAATGACCCAAACAAAATAATAACCAATTAATATTTAAATGAACTGATGTCAAATTGCCAGATCTAAAGGAATGGAACTTGTTACCTTGTATATATCTATATCCATTATTACAAGAATTAACAAGATGGGTAATAAGTGCCTTTCCAATAAACTGAGCATAGCCGCTCTTTGATAAAAAGCACCTGCAATACACATAACTCAAACCTATCTTATTTATAAGGACGAGGAATCATGAACTCTGCTATTTTCAAATGATGGACGAAGCTAATTTAAATTTTCAATAGATGGAAGAGCACATTGTGGTAAAATTAGACTGTGCACAAACTTAAGGAAATAATCATATGAAACAAGAAAAAAAATTGGGAACTAACATTTACTTAATGGTAAGAGAAAAATTACTAGTTGAAGCAAGATTATATTGTACAGGCTGATATATCTATGATACTTATCCCCTTCTATGAAGTTAATGCCTGGAAGCTGAAACATGAGAACACAAAGGTTCAGAAAAGGAATTTGGCACGGAAGCTGAAACATGATGCATTATCTGAATAGGATTAGAAGTAATAATTATCTAGAATAATCTGAAACATGATAACACAAAGGTTCAGGCAAGGAATTTGATACGAAAAACTGAAACATGATGCATTATCTGAATACAGATTAGAAGCAATAATCATTGCCGCCGTGACCTATCTCAATGAGGAGTTTGGTGGCTCGTGCAGCCTTTTCATGTTACTGACAAAAAACAATCTAATATGGCATATGTTTGATAAAAGACAGGTGAAGTCAAAATCATAGTACTTAAGCAAAGACTAAATAAAAATTAACTGCATTCCGTAGAACAAGAGAATAAACTCACATAAATTTAAAGCCTACAGCATCATATTTCATTCCGTAGAACCTAGAGGCATAAGGCATCACAAGGGAAAGAAACCTGAAGTCTTCAGTGCACTATGACAGATATTGACTAGCAGAGTAGAATATACCACGAGTCCCAAAAATTGATTGAATTCATGCTGTAGAAATTCTAGGTAGCATCTGCAACCATTATCAGATATCATATTTGTTTGTTGATGGCCGAAGATATTTTCAGATATATGAAAAGGCTAGCTAATTTCAATGTTCATTAGAATGAAGCTGAAAAATGATAACACAAAGGTTCAGACAAAGAATTTGACACAAGAAATTAATTAAAGATAAGATAATGTAGGACATCAATTGTACTTTGTTATAAATTATAGATAATAGAATATAAGATACATGTGGTGCCTGTTAGTTTAATATCAAATGCATCGACATGACAGTAAAATCATGGTAAAGCCATATCCAAGTAAAATCAGTACAAACTAGCTGTGCAGTAGCTTCAATGGCAATGCACTAACTCTGAAAATAAGACTTAACATATATCCTAAGAATATAATCATCATAGTAATATGAAGGTAATAAAGTAACAAACTAATTGCAACTGCTAATACAGGAAGATACTGAATGCCCTAATGTCTCGGTAAAAGATGTAATCAGTGACCTACTATAATTTGAGAAATATACAATGAAACCATGAAGGAAACAAGTGTACAGGTACAAAGTTGGAACAAAGAAAACTAATCATATCTATGTTCTAGTTGAGACCTGAACCTACCCGCAATAATTAACTTCTGAAAAAACACAAAAATCAAATGTCAAAACCTAACTAATTGAAATAGGTAGCAGCGAGCCAGTACCTCGTGCGAACTATGCGACCTGATCCCTGCTGCTGCAGGGGACGTAAGATGCAGGCACAGGATCGACCCTGGGCGCAGTGGCGCTCACTGATGCAAGGGCGGATGGGCAGGGACATCATGGACTGAAAGTGGCGAGGGGCAGGGCCATACAGAGTGAGGGATTGAAGAGGGACAGGCTTCTCGAGATGCAGATGCGGATTCCATTAATGAAGCTTACGACTTACCGTAGGGGCTCGTCAAGATCTGGCTATGTGTTGCCATCGCCGTGTCTGGTCACTGGCCTGCGAAGGGTCCCGGCCTCGCCGCAGAGCGGGTACGCGTCAACGGGGCCGCCGTCACTGGGTCCTCCCCTGCCATGGCGGCGGGATAGTGGGAGACGCCGCCGCGGCGCTGCTGTGCACGCATCCGTTTGGGGAGGCGCATGGGAGGGTGGGTATGGGAAGCTCGATGGTGCCTGCGGGAGGGGAGGAGGAGTGCGGCGGTGGCGATGACGGCGGTTGTCAGGGCGGAGAGGTGCGGCGTAAAAGGTGGGCGCGGGCAATGCGGGCGTGGGAGTTTGTAGCCGAGCAGTCCGTGGTGGGGGGCGAGGGACGAACCAAGAAATTGGGTGTAGCGACCACAAGGGAACCTGGATCACGACCGGCTACAATTTGGTCGTCGGGCACCTTGAGAAACACTAGGAAGAAAATGACAAATGAATAAAATGACAAATGAATCCCGACGACCACATATTAGCTGTGGTCGCTAATTTTTGGTTGTTAATACGAGGATTTGTTGTACTGCAAGTGGAGATGTAATAATGAGTAAACCCTTCTATTGTACTTTTTATGACAGGTATTCGATGGATGCTTTGACTTGTGATACCGACTGAGATTCGATAATGTGATGGCATGATCTCCTGAGACTATCACATTATGGTTTGTATCTGTGGATTTCCCTTGAGGAAATCGTGGATCGTTTTAGAGGTCACCTATGGATTTCCTCGAATAACACCATCAAATCCGCTTTTATAATAATCCAGAAAGTCTGATAAACTTTTGTAGGGAAGACATCATACCCCAGTGCCGAATTATGTTTCATTTAGAAAATGTCACCTTTACCTTGGCTTATGAGAAGCTTTGTGTGAGGATTTCATTTTCAACTTCTATAACTTGAGGATGCCATTGTATGGGTCTCGTCCATTGTTACAAAAGAGTGCTCAGGAGAACTAAACAAATTCTTGTAGTATTTGGTGATAAACTTTTCAGATTAGCGTCACCACTGATAATATCCTACTCTTGTTCCAATTAAAAAATGCGAATTCATCTATGCTTCCCAATAGCCACTAATTGAAAATATTTAGTTTTTGCATATCTTTGGTACCGTTTTATTTCTTCCTCCTTCAGAAATTAATTAATAATCAGCTATGAGAACGAATGTTTGCCAGCCAAGTGACAGCGAGATATGGCCGGAGAAGCTAGCACGCATGATTATTGGCGAGGAGCAAACGAATGGCAGTTTGCTGCCATTGCTGTCCTCCATTGACTTGACTTGGATCCATTCCATGTTCCAAGTGTTACAATAATCTGGCATATGGCGATCTCTAACCAACGTTAGACAGCAACTTGATATATCGACCATCCTGCTGGTTGCCTCGATTAATTAGCTTTGTCCTCATGACTGACCAGAAATAATCTAGTTATTAGCACGCATATATACCACAATCATTCACCAGCAGCATGTTCTCCTAAATGTGGCGCACCTACTCCTGACCGCGCTAAAATTGGCAAACCGTATAGCAGGGAGGCCCTATACTCTCCGAGCCATTAGCTGGGAAACGAGAACTACATTTAGATCTTCTTAACAAGTAAGTGATTGTTTTGTTTCATATCATCATATATGTATGTTGATACTGGTCAGTCTCACTACTATTTGTACCGGCCGCGATCTTCAGCAACTCATCTGTTTTCATTACAAGGTTGAACCTCGGTTGGCAAGCAAGAGATGATGAGATCCAATTAGTTACAGAGATTGATCGACCAAGTCCTCATACATGCTGTTGAGTTGGCTGGGTGCGGCTGTAGAGGCCGGCTTGAGCATTTCCATTTTCTAAAGAAGATGCTGCTGAACCAGTACTAGCTGGATTGAAACCTAGAGCTCTTTTCGATCACATCCCCCGATTGTTTTTTTTTCTAATAAAAGGTGAGTCAGTGACAATTCCATGCCATATTTTTGAATGAATTGGTGTCCTGATGTCTAGTCCTGTTTACCTCGCTCAAGGCTGTTCCTGATCGGGAGGCTTATTTACAGTTGCAGGCGATGGTGGTGCTAGAAACAGCTGCGATAGTTGCCATGGTCGGGTGGGCGGCCTCACCGACCATCAACCGGCTGATCGGCAAGGTGCAGTCCTACACGGCCAAGAAGTACAAGTGGTACAAGGACCTGGAGGAGAACCTGGAGAGCGTGGACCATTTCCTGGTGGAGATGAGGAGCACCGTGAGGATAGTTGAAGCCCGACGGACTGATGACCCCAACATGGAGTGCTGGCTGTCGCTGCTCAAGGATGCCATCGACGACATGGACGACTTCTTTGACATACTTGACTACGAAATCATCGACAAGTCCAACAAGTTCAAAGCCGATGATTCTTCTTCTTCTGCTGCTGCTGCTGCTGCTGTTGAGTCTGAGTCTGGAGCGCGAACGATTGGGTCGGATAAATCGTCTGGCATGCTGAGGACGTTGGTGATGAAGCTGGGCGACATCCGCCAGAGCTCGCGTGGCCTCGTCCAAGCATCCATGCTGGCTGCAACTGTGGCTGGCTGCTCCGACAGCAGGTACTCCAGCACCAGTTCAGGACGACCCGTCACCGGGCCGTTGCTACCACGGGAGGAGGAGCCCCTCGGGTACAGCGACCAGTACAAGAAGCTGATCTCATGGTTGCTGCCAGACCTTGAGAAACTCAAAGAAGACGACGGTCTTGCAACAATGACAGAAGTGTGGTCGGCATCATCGGCCATGGTGGGATGGGGAAGACCACGCTTGCTCAGAAGGCATGCAACGACCCAGACGTGAAGAGTAGGTTTGAGCTCGTCATATGGGCCTGGGTGTACAACAAGTTTCGTGAGGACGACCTGTTAGGTGAGATATGGAGGTCGGCTCCGGCGGTCGCAGAGGCAGAAATAACAACCAGCGCCGCCGTACCCGCACGGCATGGCAATATGAGCTTCAGCAGCATGCAGCTGGCGCTGGAGAAGCTTGTGGCGTCCAAGAGGTACCTGCTGGTGCTCGACGACGTGTGCAACGACGAGACGGCTACCAACCTGCAGAGGAGGGAGACATGGAGAAATGTGCTCGCGCCGTTTCAGCGTGGCGAGCGCGGAAGCAGGGTTCTGTTGACCACTCGAGCCATGATCTGTGCGCAGACGGTGGGCGCGGCGGAGAGGAGCAGGCGGATCGTTCTGGACGGGATCGACCGCGACTCCTTCGTCTGCCTGCTCAAGAGAACAGCCGCGATTGGAACCCTTGCTCCGCTTCTTGAAGAGGTTATCAGAAGCAGTGCATTGTTCTCCAACTCATCATCCGCATCGGCGCCGGCATGGAAGCGCTCCCCGTTGTCTGCCAAGGAGATGGGTCTGAAGCTGAGAAACACCAGGATCAAGAAGAGATGGGAGGACATCTTGAGGACGGACTGCCACGAGAATGTTATCTCATCCCATGTGTCCTGCTATCAGCAGCTGCCACCGCACTTGCAGTACTGCTTCGCTTTCGTCAGCCTATTCCCTAACGGGTTCAAGTTCCAAGCTGAGATGCTGGTGAAGATGTGGGTGGCCCATGGTTTCATCAGCGAAGGTGAAGATGGCTCCGAGGATGGCAATACCATGGAGGACACGGCGAGTGGGTACTTCAATGATCTGGTCTCCCGGTCTTTCTTCCAAGAGATCAAGAATAAACAAGATAGGGTAACTCACTATTTGATCCATGAGCAGATCCATTCCATGATCCGCTCAGTGTCTGCAAATTATTTCCTGATGGTCCATGGAAATACAAATACCTTTGCTGCGGCTGCCAAGAGTATTCCTCATACAGTTCGCCACTTGTCTGTAACCAACGGCTGTCTCGACTGTCTGCTGGTTCATCTCAAGAAGCATACTAGTGTACTGAAAAGGCTACGCACGCTTCTAGTTCTTCGGGATTCTTCTGGACCAGCAAAACCCTGCGTCGCATGTGCTTTTAGAAGCTCAAAAAAGGAAAAGGGTTCTTCTGCCGTGTCCTCATTAACAGCCATTGGTAAGGATCTACTCAGCGAGCAGAGTGGCGTCAGGGTTCTGGATTTAACCGGCACAAACATTGCAGAGTTGCCTCCAGAAATTGGCAACCTGATTCATCTTCGTTATCTGGTTCTTCCTGACACCCTAATAAAAGAATTGCCTGAACAAGTTAAGAAGCTGCTCCATCTACAGGTGCTGGTCCGGAGCACTGATGCCCAAACTGCTGCTGTGGTAGACGATGATAGCAAGAAATTCAATCAACCTTCTACATTCTGTGCTAACAAGGCAGGCCTGAGCCAGCTTGCAGGCATGAATTCGCTCCGCGGAGAACTAAGCATTACGGGTCTCGGCGCTGTTTCAAACAAGAAAGATGCTATTAAGGCAAAACTCAGAAAGAAGAAATCCGTGAAGAAGCTGAATCTTGAGTGGGACAAAAATGAAAGTGATGAAACCTCCCCTCAACATCATCAGGATGTTCTTGAAGGTCTCCAACCACATTTTGGAATTCGAAAGCTGCAAATTAGAAGATACCATGGTATATCATCTCCCAGTTGGCTGCTAAACAACTGCCTAGAACAACTGACACACCTGCAACTCATAAATTGTAGGAAGTGGGCGACCCTGCCCGCTTTTGGCCACCTGCCCCGCCTGAACCATCTACATATTCGTGAAATGAATTCTGTTATACAGATTGATGGCAGTGGCCCGTTCAAGTCACTAGAGACACTTGAGTTGTCTGACATGCAGAGCTTGGTTCAATGGACAGCTGGAGCTCCCGATAGCCAATTCACCGTTCTTAAAAATGTGGAAATAAAGGATTGCCCGGAACTGCAGATATTGCCTCCAATACTTCAAAAAACCTTGGATAGCCGAGTGATAAAAGGATGTCCGAAGTTACTATGATAGATCGTGCACCGTTGCAGTTCGTACAAACCACAAAGGTAGACGTATATTGGTTTCCAAGCTAATCTGTTATTGCTCCTTTATCTTTATGAAAGACTTCAATTTGTTATGAGAGGTTTGTCATTCTATTGGTATCTCTCATTCATGAAGTTCTTTGGTTGTATCAGTTGGTTGGAGAAGTTGGTGTTACTTGAGGCATTATCTCCTTTGGTCCTTTGGAGATGTTCATTTGTTCTCAAGTGTATCTCCAATATGAAGCTCTCTTTGCGACTTCAGTCTATTCAAGGGTTTTGGTTACCGCCAGGTATTCTCTCAGGTTGTGTGGAGCTCTTTCAGTTTAAAGTCTTGTTTGTGGTTGTCAGTTTGCTTTTGGCAGTTGACATTCAGCTGGAGCAGTTGGTTATTTGAGACTGCATGTGTTGGGACCCCTTTTATTCATATCTACAATTTGTGGCTAGCATTAGCATTTGTTAATTGGACATTGTTTGTTCTTTGGTGATTGCTATGTGGGCTAGATGCATCTTCTTTTGTGGCATTGTTACACTAGATTTGGTTCATTTGTTCAAGAAGAGCCCTTCGCAAATTTGTTCATCTTAAGGCAGTTTCAGATGGTCTGTTATATTGTAGCTGTTTTGACTCTGAATTATGTCTAAGGAAGTGAAGGTTGAGCTCCTATTTGAGTCTGAGTTGTAGGATTTTGGTGCAGCATGGAGTATGTCTCTGCATGGATCAGTAGGTCTAAGTTGAGGTCAACGTTTGGTATTGCATATGGCAATACACTGTGGTTGCCCTTGCTTGTGTGAGATCCAGTGTAGAATTTGTTGGTACTCTATTGGCTACACATTTGATAGTTCCTTTCACTTAGGTTTCTTGGAGGAGCAGATGTAAATGTCATTGCTTTCATTAGTTAGCAGTTTGGTGCACATCATGGTGTTCACATGTGCAAGATGCTCATTCGATGAGTGTTGGCTACCGAGTTAGTGTTTTAGGTGGAGCACATTTGGAAAGCATGGTTTTGCATTCTTCACTACTTGTTCAATGCCTCAAGTGATTTCTTGGCATATCTTTTGCTGATCGAGCAATTTGTTTAGACTTGGGTCAGGAGATCAGTTGCACATGTTCAGACATTTGCTAGGGTTAGAATCTATTGAAGACTTAGTTTTGTTCGTCTAGATTTGGTGAGATGTGATTTGGACTTCTTAGTTATTCTTGCTTGCTCGATTTGGTAGCTTCTTATGAAGCGTTTGCTGGAGGTTTTGTTTGTCCATTTTACTTGCAGTTGGAGATTTGAGCATTTGGCATCATGATCATGGGTGTGTTGGTCATGTTGTTCACTCATCAGAGTTCACTGATGCATTTGTTTGTGGCTCAATCATTAGCCAAGTCAAACTGAGCTACCTCCATGTTGGAGGCGCTGAAGTTGTTGCTTGTTGATTAATTTGAATGTGAAGCATATGAAGATTGGACTTCTAACATCAAGAATCTTGATGTGTTTGCTCCATGGTTCAATCATCGCTCATTTGACAAACTAAATTATGCAAAATGTTGCCAATTTGTTTGGTTAGGTGTCTAGGGACCTTTTTTGTGACAATTTGCAACTTTGTGGGGCCTCCCACAAAGTGACCATTTCAGCCCAAAAGGGCTACCCGAGATCTCCTTCTAGTAAGGGTGCATGTTCTTCTCCTTTGGGGTTGAGAGAGGGAGAGAGGAGATTTGAGGGGTGAGGCTTTGATCTGACAAATCCATCCATTAGAGAGTGAAATCAAACAGGATTTGGAGCCTCTCCCAACCTTGTTGGCTCCCACCTCTTGTCTCTTCATCTTCATAGTGGATTGCTTGCTCGTCGCCGCTCGTGGTTTTTTCCTGCAAGCGGTTTCCACGTAAATCCTTGTGTCTATCTATGATTCGGTATTTATCTTGCCATACTTGTTTATTGGTTCCTATCTTGCTTGCTGTTAGTGCCATTTTGTCCTAGTTCATGGTTTATGGTTGAGTTGGCATATGATGCATACATGAGTTGTTTGATATGTGGATGATGGGGATTGATGATTTAGTGAGCTGATCTTTAAGTATATTCCTCATTGTGAAGTTTGGATAGCACCACGAATTGATGCTATGGGGCTGTTTTCAAGTATGCACATAAGGTGTTCGGTGAAATGCTTGTGAGTAGTTAGCTTGCTAAGAGCATCTCCAAGAGTTTTTCTAAAAGTCGCCCTCTAAATCATTATTTAGAGAACCATCTGCATAAAAATCACTTTGTATATCTTACAACTCTCCAACAGTTTTTCTATATCTGTGCACACTCTAGAGAATCATTTTCGTTATCTATATTTGGCTAGCAAGTAATCCGGAATAAAGGATAGCTATATTTGGATAACCACTTAAAGAAGCTGTTGGAGGATATTTTTCATCAAAATCTCTATTCCTAACATTTAGGAAGGATATAGAGAGTCTCTTGGAGTTGCTCTAATTTCGACGCTTCCGCTGCCCCTCTGCGCTCACACTGTACCCTAATCCCGTTTTACTCACGCATATATATGTTTGGTAGGAATTCAGTTTCTCAGAAAAACACTTTGGGACATGACTGATTCTGATTGTTAAGTGAAAACTTGTTTTACTACTTTCTAGGAGGATTTGATAAACGTTTCGAATCCCAAAACCAATTTGGTAGGGATTCTCCTCAGTTTCTATGGAGGACAAGTTTTGTTTGATAGCCACTACACTACTAAAGAAATAATGATCATCGCTAGGGCCTTCACCTTCGGTTATGTGAGAACCGGCGGTGATGCATTACACCGTTGGTTCATAGGCAGAAGGAGCACACAAATGGGTGACTTACCGTCCGTGATGAACGTTTTCACCGCCGGTTCAACGTAGTATCAGTCTTCGCCGTCGTATCATACACCAAATCAGTGGTGAAAACACTTAGCACTGCCAGTTAGTTAACCAATGCACGACGCACATACAAACCAGCGGTAACAAGAAGTTTCACCACCGGCTTGAAGATGGAAGGCCGCAGTGCTAATTAGAGCCAGCGGTGAATATCGATATCACCGTCGGTTGGTTGTATGATTTGGCAGTGGAATCCGCAATGGTTCTGACCGCCACATCATCTACCAAGATGGCGGTGATAAAGAGGTTTCACTGCTAGTTTGTTCAGACACTAAACTCCATTTGCTTTGATTAGGCGGTGAAACATGTATCACCGTCAGTTTTTCTTTGATCCGGCGGTGTTAATGGCAAGAGCAAAACCCCATTTCTCTCATCTTCTTTATCACTCCCTCAACTTCTTGAGCCACAACTCCCACCATTGTTGTGGCTGTTTTTCATCATGTTGCTCATGGTGGCTCTCATTTTTCAAACGATTCCACGACTTCCTTGTTCTAAGGTTCGTCACTAACAACCCTTTAATTTCCGAGATTGTTCCTTTGGTTAATTTGTGAATGAAAATAATCCTTCTTCCTTTTAGAGTGCATTTTGTTATTATGGAGGCTTATGATTTTTATGGTTCCTTGCACACCAAATTACCCTACAGTCAGTATGTATTAAATTACATTAAATTGAGTGACATATAAGTTAGTACAACCTATGTCACAATAGTTATGTTACTCACAGATGGATCATGGATGAATGTACTTGGAAACTATATCTTCAACGTTCGTGGAAGGCATTGAATCTTTTGTGAAGGCCCCATGGTGTATGTGGCCTATAATGTACAGGTTCAAGGATACATACATTGTCCATGTGTTGACCTCAAAAATGAAAAGCAATTTCAAAAAATCGAGCAGATATGGTTTCATCTGCTAAGTATGAGTTTCATAGAAAACTATAAGGTTTGGAATAGGCACAACGAGCAGGGTGAGAACTTACCTAAGGAAGTCTCACATGATATTGTTTGGGCACCCGTGTGGGATACCGTCCATGAAATTGAGTATGAAATCACTACTCAGCCAGTGGCTTCCCCAAGTACTCGGGGAAGACCCTCCGGCTAATCCTCATCCGGCAAAGGCGTCTTTCCCGAGTGTCGAAAATAGTGCACTTGGGGAAGGCTTTGCCGAGTGTCGTGCTGGCACTCGGGAAAGATTTGACGCCGTTGGCCGACGGCCGACGCTGTTTTCTTTTTTTTTTCCTTCCCCGAGTGCAACACTCGGGGAAGATTTACACTCGGCAAAATAAAAATGCGAAAAAACCCCAAAAATAATAGCAAAAAACCCCAAATTTTTTTTTCGGGGGAGGCCACCACCGGCCAGTGCACGCCCGCCTCCATTGAAGTCGCTGCATTTTTTGCGCAAAATTCGCGGCTAACGCGGCCGGCGGGATTCGAACTCACTACCTCTCCCTCACGTGTCTGCTGCTCCACCACTGCACTACACTGTCACTTGTGTCTAGATTCCGTTATCTATCCTCATATATTATACTAAATCGAGAGTAAATTGCTTGTTTGAGGCCCTATACGAATTCAAATCAAAAAGTGGTAAACTACAAAGTTTCATAACTTTTCGAGATGTACAATTTTCATTTAGGAAGTTTTTTCATCCGAGGTCGTTTGAAAAATTCGAATTTCAAATTTGAGAGATTCAAACGTAGTTTTGCATGATAAGATGATTTCAAATCAAAAAGTTGTCAACTACATAGTTTCATAACTTTTGGAGATCTACAATTTTTATTTAGGAAGTTTTTCCATCCAAGGTCTTTTGAAAAATTCAAATTTTAAAATTTTCTTCCCCGAGTGCCTTTCCTGGCACTCGGCAAAGAGACCCTTTGCCGAGTGCCATGACAGGGCACTCGGGGAAGCCAGCCTCTTTGCCGAGTGCCAGGGTGCGACACTCGGCAAAGCAATTTTTTTAGTTTTAACGGCATGCACGGGCTGGGCCGTCAAGTAACATTTTTCTTTGCCGAGTGCCGCTCTTCCCCGAGTGTTGCACTCGGTGAAGAGGGCCTTTGCCGAGTGCCGGCACTCGGCAAAGGCCGCACTCGGCAAAGGCCCTCTTCCCCCGAGT